CCGTTTTATAGAGGATAGCTTTTTGTTGTTATTTTGCTTTGCTTATGTATATGTGTGCCTCTGTGTGTGTATGTTTTGTGATGCTGGGGGCTGAACTTCAGGAGCACTGCACTACATTCCCAGCCCTTTTTATCTCTCGGTTTACTTGGAGTCAGGGTCTTAATAAGTTACCTGGGCTACCTCTAACTTGCCATCCTCGTCCCTCAGCCTCCTGAGTAGTTGGAACTGTGGTGCACACCACCATGCCCACCTATGTAGAGGGGTTCTAAGAGCAGAGGACTTTGTTAGGTAAGGTTCAGATACCTGACGCTGCAACCAGATTGAACTTGCTCTCCTTTTTCATTGTCTTTGCCTTCCTATTTTGTAGTTCAGCTTACACTGACACCTTAGTGGAGTGGTGGTAACCCTATAGCATGCCTGCCATAGTCAGGTGTTTGTTATCATTGAAAGCTCCAAAAGGTTCACCATCACTGCTTTGGCGTAGGTCCTAGAGGGTTCCATCTGTTTTTACATGTTGACTTTGTGTCTATCTAAAGGTACCATAAGGTAGGCTAATCCTCAGGGGTTAGAAAAGGTGGCCACCTCCTACACAGTGTTCCTGAAGCTCACAGCTAGGTTATAGCATTCTGTTTTTTTAAATTTATTTATTTATTTATTTATTTATTTTTGGTACCGGGGATCAAACTTGGGACCTTGCGCTTGCACGGCAGGCGCCGGAACCACTGAGCTAAATCTCAGCCCTGTTTGTTTTATGAGACAGGGTCTCCTCATGTAGTTCAGGCTGGCCTTAAACTCACTATTTATCCCAGGCTGGCTTCAAACTCATGATGATCCTCCTGCCTCAGCCTCCTGAGTGCTAGGATTACAGGTGTGTGCCACCACACCTGGCAAATGTAGCATTCTTATTGGGCTCTTTTCCTCTCAAGACATACCTGACATTTCTTGTGTTGGAGTCAGTTATGTGTTTATCTTTCTCTGTTGCTAACCTATAAACTCCTTGAGGGTATTATCTAAATCCGGTTCCTTTATATAACCATGAAGTGACTAGCACAGTGTTTCATAATGTTAACAATGTAAACTCTAGCTGATTCTCTTCAAATCAAATCAAGACTTTTTCAGAGTCAGAGAGAAATGTTTGAAAGTCCCCATTTGTCAGGGACAGCTTTTGATTTCTGAGTTCCTGAGTGAGTGTCACCAGCAGCAGGGGATGAACACTGCTTCACTCTCCGGGAGACTGCCTGTGTTCACTGGTGGCTTCTCCATTGTGCTGTTAAGTCGGTATTGCCGGCTGGGTGCATGGACTCAGTGACATATACCAAGTAGAGGTCCTGCAAAATGATGTTAAATAACAGCATTTCAAGGTCAAAGTCTTCTCAAGCTTTTGCCATCTGGGAGGATGAGAACAGTAAAATTATTTTCTGCTCCAAATGGTTCTGTGATTTTTCTGAGCTTTTTGTAGAATATCACATTGATAAACATGTGTTTTTTTTCAGTTTTATTACTTTTTTATTACTGTTTGTGATTTTTTTCCCATTAAGTTTATTGGTACATTTTAGGTATACAGCACAGTTACACTCATCATTGGGATCTTGTACCTTTACATGAGTATCTTGGTTTCTATTTTTTTCCCCTTCCCCTGCCCTCCCTTCACCCCCTCCACCCTTCCATATTTGCAAAGACTTTGTTTCCATTTTTTCCCTTTTCTTCTATTTTTCTTTTCCCTTCTTTCCTTTCCCCCACACCTCCCACTTCCCCTGCTCCTTTAGACTTTTTCTTCCTATTACACAATATCAAGTATACATTTTAAAAATTACTATATCAAGATCTAGGAGACATTACCA